GCAGCAGCAGCTGCTGCTGCTGCTGCTTGGCTTGTCAGCGGACTCGTCGGTCTGCTGCTGCTGCTGCTGCCGCCGGGGACACACACCTGCACTTCCTGTGCTGCTGCTGTTGCTGCTGCTGCTGCTACTGTAGCTGCTGCTGCTGTTGCCGTTGCTCCTCCCCCTGCACCTGCTGCTGCTGCTGCTGCTGCTGCTGCTGCTGCTGCTGCTGCTGCTGCTGCTGCAGTGAATATGCTGGGGGCCCCTGACGTCGGTGCTGTCTCAGCAGCAAAGGAGGGGCCCCCAGGGGCCCCTGCAGCAGCAGCTGCTGCTGCTGCTTCTGCTGCTGCTTCTGCAGCAGGTGCTGATGATTCTACTACAGCAGCAGATGCAACAGCAACAGCAGCAGCAGCAGCAGCAACAGCAGCAGCAGCAGCAGCAGCAGATGATTCGTTTGTCCGTCTCCCTGATGAAGAGACAGCTCTTATAGACGGAGACACAAAAGAATACCTACAAAAGTGGTACGTGCTGCTGCTGCTGCTGCTGCTGCTGCTGCTGCTGCTGCTGCTGCAGCAGCAGCAATAGCAACGGCAGCAGCAGCAGCAGCAGCTATAGCAGCACCAGCAGCAGCAGTAGTAGCAGCAGCAGCCGTAGTAGCAGCAGCAGCAGCAGCAGCAGCAGTAAGAGTAGCAGCAGCAGCAGTAGTAATAGCAGCAGCAGCAGCAGCAGCAACAGCAGCAGTAGCAGCAGCAGCAACAGCAGCAATAGCAGCAGCAGAAGTAGCAGCAGTAGCAGCAGCAGCAGGTTGAGCCCCCAATAGATAAACAGAAAAAAAAGAATAATAAAAACAAAAAAATAAAAAATAAAAAAAAGAAAAAAGAAAAAAGGAGACAAATAAATAAAAATAGAGACAAAAGGAGACACACAGAGACAAAGATAAACAGAGACAAAGCAATATACAAATAAATAAATAAATAAATAAATAAATAAATAAATAAATAAATATACAAATAAATAAATAAATAAATAAATAAATAAATAAGTACAATAAAATAAAGAAGAGACGGACAGAGAGAAACAGAGAAAGAGAGACAAAAGGAGACAGATATAC